GTGCAGATGGCTTCCTCAAGGTGAAGCGGCTTTGTGGGCTGGGGGGGGGCTTCTTGGCAGCGGAGTACCTTCACCTGCCTCAACCCGCCATGGAGAGATGCAGGCTCTCTAAGGGAGGCTCGGCCTTGCCCAGAGACACTGGCCAAGGCCAAGCTTTCCTTCCGGATGAAAGCAGGGAAACAATGCCAACCACTCTTCCAAAGCCCTCCCTCACACCTCATGAGGATACCCCAAGGTTTGGGCATCGGGGATGTGTGTGTGTGTGGCTTCCACATTAGATCCGAGAGCAACCTCCAGGGGGCGCCGGTGGTGTGAAGGGTGGCTGTGTCCCTCCGCCTCTTGTCCCCTTGAAGGGACCAAGGGCTTCTCAGGCGGCCTTGGGTTCGAAACCCCGCTCTCGTTCACAGGAATCATCAGGCCCAGCCGACGGAACACCAATGGCGGATCCGGAGAGGTGAGTCGTGCTTCATGGACGGGCCCCTGAAGCCCCACCCCCAGGGAATGGCAGCTCCTTCCCGAAGAGAGAGGGCTGAGGTGGATCCGGGGGGGGGGAACGGAGGGCTTCTGGGGGGCCCACACCATGCGGTTCTTCTTTGCCCGTTGGACCTCTGTGGGGCTTGGCCCGGCCCTGGCCCGGCAGGGAGAGGCCAGGAGCCCCCCAACCTCCCCCCTCCCGGAGGCTCTCCCGATCCCCCTGAAATCCACACATGGCCGGGGGGGGGCGTCAGTCCTAGGGCTGGATCCAGTGAGAGGAGAGGAGAGGAGGCCCACCGAAGGCCTTCCCGGATGGAGGGGAAGTCAGTCGGCCCAAGAGGGGGAGAGCCACCCCTTGTAATGGCAGGGAGAGTCTTTCTCTCGGTCTGGCACCTGCAAGAGCCAGATTGGTAGAGGACGGGAGCCTTATGGGGGGGGCTGATCTCCCAGGCTCTGGAAACCCCCCTCCCTGAAAGGCTAGGCAGCCCCGGGCAGCAAATCTCCTAAGCCCCCCACCCCACACCCACCAGGTCTTCTCATGCAAGAGAGTCCCGGGTGTGTGTGTGTGTGTTTCAAGCATTGACCTCTTTCTACTTTGAGGTGTCCTGGCCCTCGAGCCCAGAGTCTCTCGCTCTCCAACACCAGGACCAAGCAGCTCCCCACCTGTGAAGAGACGTTCTCCATCAATATCTTCTGAGCAAGGGAAAGGATCTCCCAACAGGTCGGACTGTAGAACAAACGACACTCACCATCCCTACTGCCTCCAAGGCCTTCCCGTACCTCCCCACGCCCCCGGCCCCGATGCGCAGGGGTCTTTCGGCTTCCCCCCAGCAAAGACAATTTCCACCTCCCACCACGAGGCCCATCAGGAGAGTCTCTTCACCCCCTCCCACGCAAAGGGCGTCACTTTCTCCACAGCCAAAGCGCGGAGTCTCTTGCATGCCACCACCAAGAGCAAGCAGCTCCCCACCTGCAAAGTCTCCATCTCCCAGCAGAAGGCCCAGCAGGAGAGTCTCAAGGACTCCAGAGCCCAACAAGCCAAAAAAGCAAATGAGCCGTTGCCTGCCTTCATTTGGTATTCAAACATATAAACGTGGATATTCCTCACCACTTCCTCAGGTTTCAGAGGGATAGTTCTGCAGCTGTGATGAAGATGGAAGTCGAGTTTTAGTCTGAAATACCTAGGAACGGGCATTGTGCAAAATGGAAAGGGATTGATTTTGAAGTTCCTGCTTCTGATCAATCCTAGGCAAGTTTCAATTGAAATGACTTACGTGATTTTGCGCATAGAACTCAAATGTTTATTTTGCATGTTCAAACATGGGTAGTTCTCCCCAGTCAGGATGACAGCAGCTGCATTTCCAAGGTCCCATTTGTCCTTAGTTTCTGCCAACCATTTCTAGTCAGCCGAAAATGTCCTTCCTCTTTTTTTTCTTCTTCTCTGAAGGCCTTCTCGATCAAGTCCATCTTTTCCAAGAAGCAGATATTCCTCGTGGTCATCCTCAGCTCTGTCTCCCACTACCCAGAGTCCATTCCGAGTAAGGGTGGGTGTCTTCTAATGTAACATAGCAGCTACCTCGCCATTTATATGCTTGATTTCATCAACCTTTCTGCTCTTCTGAACTGGACTGGAAAGGGAAATAGGAAATAAACCTGAAAGAAGCCTCTGGCCCATGCGCTCCTTTACCGTGCGACCAAAGCTAGAGTATTTTCTAACCTTTCTGATGTGCCCTTAAATTTAAAAATAATAGTTGCAATCTATGCATTCACAATGGTCAAGGAGCAGGAGAAAGGACCCTGTGAGGAAGATGTACACCATTGGGGTTTATTGTTGTTGTTTATCCATAAGTTCTTAATTTGAAAACTGTTTAATTTTTTTAATGTTTTACTAATTTATAGTTGACCTGGGGCTCTAACATGGGGAGGGAGACCTTCCTCAGCCCCCACCTGCTTTCTCAGCACCAAGCATAGTTTTCTGCATAGGAGTTCCTGTGGAGGCCTCCGGATGACTCGTCATGACTTCTCATGCTAGGAATTTTAGCAGGTTTCTTATCTGGTTAGACAATTTATTTTATAGAAATTTCTTATGTGTTTGTGACTATAAAAGTAATTGTTGATTTTTTTTCTGCATGAAGGAGATTGAAAGTGAAGCGGAGGAGTTCCTGAAGGAGGTGGAGCAATGTTGGAAAGACCTGGCTATAGACCTTTGATGGGAAATATGCTCTGGGAGGACACGGATAGAAGATCTCTGCTGGTGACAACTGAGACCTCAGCATCAGGACTTGGAGAGAAACCCAGGAGTTTCCCTGTGCACCTGCTCCAACCCCAGCACCGTCAGGAACTGGTGGAACCCTCCCAGCGCTGGCCAGCCTGCAAGCTCCACATCTTGCTTTATGGGTACTACCTTGGAGGAACAGCAGAGCAGCAGTATGGATTGTTGCAGAAGTGCTGCATCAGCCTAAATAAATTCTGACCCCCTGTTTGCTTATGTGCTTTTGGTTTAGTAATCTGTGGTTACACAGATGCTCCGTCATAAATTAATCTCGACTCAATCTGACCGTCTTGGGAGGCCGATCACATCTGCTGGGCGGAATAATTTGTGTCGTCATCATGTACGTATGCCTCTCTGCTTAGGGTCATGAATTTAGGAAAAATGGTATATAGAAATACTGGATTTGTGACCTGTAAGAGATGCACAGTAGATTTTCTTTACAAATGTGGACATATTGGAAGGCACATATCTTGCCTGATGGTCCCTTTGAGATGGGCATAGTTTAAGTATAATATATATTGAACCCAAAACTCTGCTTCAGTAGATGAGTTGAGTCCTTTCAGTCCAACTGACAGGTGCCAATAGGGCTGGTCCAGTTCTCCCTCACTCTGATCTGCTGTCTTTATTAGAGCTGATGAGGACTGAAGTCCAGCACAACTGTACTACTGAAAAAAGTGCATTCTTTCTAGGACTACACCTGGGAAGACCACGGCTACTCTCTTATCAACCGCTTGTATCCTGAGGTGGGCTGGATGAGAAATTCCAGGTGGTGTACAACCTAACGTACAATACCATTGCTATGCATAGTGGAGTGGACACGTCCATGCTTCGGAGAGCAATTTGGAATTACGTTCATTGTGTCTTCGGAATTCGGTAGGTCAATTATCCACCAATCAGTATGTTATGCCCGTCAAGGCAGACCCTCATAGTGTGCTGTTCTATTGGAATTACATTGGTATTTTTCTCTCTCTCTTTTTTTGCCAGTTAACTGCTGTGATGTCACTCTTTTCTAAATTGTTGTTGTTGGGCGGGGGGTTTGCTTCCTCCTAAATCTCATTTTTGTTTTATTTTGTTGCTTCTCCAGAATCACAGATTTTCAGTAAACTACACCAGGCTTTTTTCTTTATGAATTAGCTTCTGTCTTCTGATTTCTAGACCTTTACTTAACTATATCATTCTTTCTCAGAAATCAGGACACTAGGGGTTATCCATGTATTGTGCCAAGCTATGATTTGAGGCCATGGGGGATGAGGCTTATACTTGCCTAGGTCTCCTTCGGTGGCAAAAACTCCTTAATTAGTTGCTTCCTGGTTGGCAATAAGCCTAGTTTGGTGGTAATGGCTAAGTTGCGGTTTGCATGTGAACTGGGAGCAACTATAAACCATGATTTACCGTATTTTTCGCACCATAAGACGCACTTTTTTCCTACAAAACGGGGGTGGAAAGTCTGTACGTCTTATGGAGCGAAGAAAACAGATTATATTTTCCTGTTTTCTTCTCCTAAAAATTGGTGTGTCTTATGGAAAGGTGCGTCATATGGAGTGAAAAATACGGTACATCAAACCAGCAAACAGCACATGTAAGGAGAGGAGAGAGAAGGTGCTTTCAGAACCCAATTGTGTGATGCTAGAGTTTGGGAATGAATTGATTTATGAAGAACCATTGTCCAGCTGTTGGCGTTGATTATAGAATTTGGCTTGTGTTGAGTCCTGTTGTGTAGTGTTCTTTTGGGAGGTGGCAAGATTTTTTGGGGTGAGTGTCCTTTCCACGTGGATAGCCTTGCATGTAACTGGTCAAACTTAGGTGACTCAAGGCTGACTCATTCAATTGATAGAGAGGTAAAATATTTGGCATGCTCAACACGTGGGAGGACTTCTCCAGTCACTGCCTCTGTTAGGGTTGTTGTGTGAACAGAAGGATTTGCTTGAAGAGGAAGGGTGTCGTGGTTCTAAAATAGCTGTTTCTCCTAGGAAGGGTCATGGCTTAGTGACAGGATATGTCCACTGAACCCAGAAGTATACATGTTCCATTCTGGCATCTCCATTTCAAAGGTCTTCAGCCATTGTGTCAGAAAAGGTCTCCTCAGCTCACAAGTCTCCTCAGCTCACAGGTTTTGGACTGTAGCTCCTTCCATCACTTGCTGTTGGCCATGGGGGGTGTGGTCAGCCTGATGAGAGTTGTAGTCCAAAGTATGTCCACCCTGCCTTAGTCTGTTGTGCCCATCAGATTGGACAGGGCTGACTATTCTGTGCCATTTTGTCTGGCGATGTTAGTACATGCAGATAGTGCGCCACTGGTTTTGGAGCCGTCATACCGAGGACCTGATCTCTTGGGGGCAGACAAAAGTATTTAATATTGTATTGGCGCTGCTCTAAGAGACTTTTTTGTATCACTGTACTCAGAGGTCAATAAGAGATCAGGGGACAGTCCAAGAGCGTGTACTTTGGACTTGAGATCTTCCATCCGTGTCCTCCCATGAGAGTCCTGCATGAAGGAGATAGAAAGTGAAGCGGATGAATTCCTGAAAGAACTGGAGCAACGTCTGCAGGACTTGGATGCCGATCTTTGATGCCAAATATTCTCTGCCATTTTCTCTGGCAAAGGTGATGCAGTCGTGCTTGGAGAGTGGATGGCAAAGAGCCACTGTGGGATCCGTCAGCCTTGTCGTAAAATCCTTGAGGAGGGAGAGACCCTGACTGTCCAAGAAAATTCTGGTGAAATTATGGCGATGGTCATAGGAGCTGATGAGCACACTGCGAATGTTTTTTCTCTAATGAAGATCCATGTCCTTTTTTAAACACGCTGAACGTCAACCTAGCAACCATAATAACTCATGTTAAAGTCGAAAGCTCAAACATACTTTGGAACAGTCCCATTTTGTCCTTAGTTTCTGCCAACCATTTCTAGTCAGCTGAAAATGTCCTTTCTCTTTTTTTCTTCTCTGAAAGCCTTCTCCAACAAGTCCACCATTTCTGAGAGGCAGATCTTCCTCGTGGTCATCTTCAGAGTCACCTGAGCCGCTCCCCAAGAAACATCGAGAGCCTCCATCCCCTGCAGCTGCATTTCCAAGGTCCCATTTGTCCTTAGTTTCTGCAAACCATTTCTAGTCAGCTGAAAGTGTCCTTCCTCTTTTTTTCTTCTTCTTCTTTGAAGGCCTTCTCCGACAAGTCCATTTCTGAGAAGCAGGCCATCCTCATGGTCATCCCCTGCTCTGTCTCTGTCTCCCGCTACCCGGAGTCCATTCCGAGTAAGGGTGGGTGTCTTCTAATGTAACGTAGCAGCTACCTCGTCGTTTATGCGCTTGATTTCATCAACCTTTCTGCTCTTCTGAACTGGACTGGAAAGGGAAATAGGAAATAAGTCTGAAAGAAGCCTCTGGCCCATGCACTCCTTCAGCCCCCTGACTCCCTCCTGGCTTTTCCCTTGTTCTGGAGGGTGGAACCTGCTCGCGGAAAGCCATTGTGTTGGGCTACCTTGGTTGAAAACTACGAAAACAGAAGGGGTGTGTGTAAAAATCAACTGGAAGATTCTCCCTGAATAATCTTTGAAAAGCACATTAGAATGTGTCTCCAAACATCTTTTGAAAACAGACATTTATGACCTACATGCCTTTCCTAATTCACATAGGCATTGGTCCATGGACTTAAATTCCTGCTTACTAAGGGGAGATCCCTCCGGTTGCTTCTATGAATCACTTTTCATTTTACCCTTTGGAAACCATCTCAAATTATTGATGAAATCAATTGTCGGGCCACCCATCTCATCCATTCGTTTTTTGTTTTAGTCCTGAAATATTTTTCTTCGTATATTCCCCTGCACCATTGATCCTCTTGCTGTCACTCTCCCACACCCAGGCCAGAGGGTCCTCCGATCCAGAGGAGAGACTCACCTTCACTACCTCCAGAGAGCCGATCATCATCACCCCCTCCCATATAAAGGGCATCACTTTCTCCACAGCCGAAGTCTGGAGTCTCTTGCATGCCACCATCAAGAGCAAGCAGCTCCCCGCTTCCATCCCCTGCTCTGTCTCTGTCTCCTGCTTCCTGCTCACCTACACGGAGTGCATTCAGAGTAAGGGTGGGTGTCTTAGGCTGAAAACCTGGCTCTCGTTCACAAGAATCATCAGATGCAGCAGAGAGAGCGCCACTGGCTGATGCTGAAAGGTACGTACGGGTGGGTGTCTTCTAATGTAACGTAGCAGCTACCTCGTCGTTTATGCGCTTGATTTCATCAACCTTTCTGCTCTTCTGAACTGGACTGGAAAGGGAAATAGGAAATAAGTCTGAAAGAAGCCTCTGGCCCATGCGCTCCTTTACCGTGCGACCAAAGCTAGAGTATTTTCTAACCTTTCTGATGTGCCCTTAAATTTAAAAACCAATGGATCACAATAAGGTAGCTGTCAGGATTGAGACTAACCATTATCTTGCTAAGATAAGGGCTGCTAGTAGAGCTCACCTCGCTAACTAGATAAGTGAGGCTTCAAATCAGCAGGCGGAACTTTTCCGTATAGTCCTTGACCTATCTGGAATTGGTCCATGTGATGGGCCTCCTTCTAGTATTCGGGTATGGCATCCTGGTGAAAAATGAGGTCACTGGGAGACAAAGTAAGCAGCCCAGAGAAATACAGCCAAGAGGATTGGGGCTGCTCCCTCCAGAGTATCATCTGCCATTTCATGGTGTCTTCTGTCTTCTAGCGAGATGGAGCCAGGGGAATTCACAACCAGGACACCACCTTGTTTCTCCGCTACGGTATGAAAGGGAAGGCCCGGATCCCCCTACCTCCCGAGGCATCCTACCTCTTTCTTCCAGGTCCTGACCTCACCCTCTCCTGGCAGGAATGGCCCTCCAAAAATGAGGTCACTGGGAGACAAAGTAAGCAGCCCAGAGAAATACAGCCAAGAGGATTGGGGCTGCTCCCTCCAGAGTATCATCTGCCATTTCATGGTGTCTTCTTCTGTCTTCTAGCGAGATGGAGCCAGGGGAATTCACAACCAGGACACTATCTTGTTTCTCCGCTACAGTATGAAAGGAAGGGCCCGGATCCCACCACCTCCCGAGGCATCCTATGTCTTTCTTCCATGTCCTGACCTCACCCTCTCCTGGCAGAAATGGCCCTCTATGGCGTCTGTATGCCATAGGCTGGGCTAGCCCTGCTCTCTGACCGGTTTGGGGAGAGAGGCCGCCTTAGGCTGAAAACCTCGCTCTCGTTCACAAGAATCATCAGTTGTAGCAGAGAGAGTACCACTCGCTGATCCTGAAAGGTACGTACGATGTGCTGAGCTAAAGCCCCCCCAGGGAAGGCAACACCCTCCTGAAGAGGGAGAGCTGATGTGGAGCAGGGTGGGCAGTCTTTAGCCCCCTGACTCCCTCCTGCCTTGTCCCTTGCTCTGGAAGGTGGAGTCCCGCTCGCAGAAAGCCACTGTGATGGGCTGCCCTGCGCATGGCGACATGCACCTTCTCTTTTCTGAGGTTCCTTTCTCTCTCTTTCTTCTGCAGGAGAAGGCCAGGCCCATCCCTACCCAGTGAAGAACTCAAGAACTGCTGGAGTTCTTCTATGCCAGCAGCAGGAAAAGGAAGAAGAAGAACCAGTATAGCACTGTTACATTATCCTTCTCCACTCTCACAAGCCTCTCCCTTAAGAAAGGCCTGGATCCCGCTCCCTCCCGAGGCATCCTATAATCCGCCTCCTCTCTGGGTACCTGTACCCATTCCCACTTCTTCGACCACGGGTCTTGTATCAAAGCCGCCCAGAGTGGTAGAATATACCACTCTGAGCAGGATATAAATTGAATAAATAAATTAAATAAATAAATACCATCTTCCAACCCCCGGCCTCAAATGTTTGTCAGTCTCCTTTGGCCCTCAAGGCACCAATGTACCACATTTTCCATATCCACATTGTGGGCACAACCCAAAACCCCACCCGCGATGTCTGTATCCTTCATTGTTATACATACCACCATTGCTGGACTTCGTGACTTGGAACTTTCTGGAACTACCACCCTTGGGTGGCTTTGTCCTTCTCTCATTTTCTACTTGCCTCACTGGGATCTTCTCTCCATGAGGTTTTTTACTTCTTCTCCCTGCAAAGCAAATCGGACTGTTATTTAGCAGCCTATTTCTTAAGCCTCTACCCCCTTCCCTGTCAGCCCCCCACCCCACCACTTTATGGCTTCAAGGGGCCTCTTCAAAAAAGTGCCATCTCTGTGGTGATAAATTGCCCCTTACATCCCTTCTGCTTT